CCGGGACCGCCAGAGCCCGGGACCACGAAGCCCGGGACCGCGAGGCCCGGCCCGTTAGGCCCACTAAGGCCCGGGCCCGGGACAAAATACAGCATTAGATCCGACTAATTGCCCTTTCTAATAGAGGAATTTATGCAAAATACAACCTTCTTACATATTTTAAAAAAATACAATTACTTTCAGAAAATTACATAAGATACAATTTATACTTTTTAACTTTTTAATTAAATCATATATAGTACAACTTTTCATATCCCTTAAATATCTCCATTGAGGCCATCTAAATAAGAAACTCGAATCACTTTGAGTATTCAACCTATTTCGAACTTATCAATACTCGCTCTCTCCAATATACGTTATTTTGCCATACCTACTTGGAGAAATCATTATTATCATTCTTTTCCACAAGTTCATAGGCATAAAATTATTTTCTGTTTCCACTAAACCTTTTCCTTTGCCAAAATTGCCTCACCACTAACTTATTTTTCAGTCTCCACTAATCTATTCTTTCTAATCTCCCTTTATCATCCCAATAATTCTCCATACTAATCTATTCTTTCTAATCTCCCTCAAGTAAAAGAAGCATGACGAATATTAGTAATGGCTAAATTCGAAAATGCCATGTCATTACTGAAATGTATTGCAAATGCTTGGGACCCTAATTTTTTGGGGGCCCTTTTTTTCTTAAAAATGTATTGCATATATATTACTAAAAAATGTGTATACATTTAAATTTAAAAAGAATTTTTGGAGCAAAAGTACAATAATTTTTAATGTGAGGATCATTATAATAATTAGAGAATGGAATAATTTTTAATGAATATTTTCCTTACATGGATAGAGTAGCTAATTTTTTGCCTAATTTATATCCTAACAACTAATACACACACTCATTATTATTTATATATTTACATTTTTCATTCTCTCTTTTACTATTCGTATTCTCAATATTGAAAAGCCTCTCAATCATCAACTTACTGTGGCTTACAAATTGTCTTCTTCAAAATATCAGGCATTACAACAAGCAATCATATTGAAGCAATGCAACACTTTTTGTTATTATTGTATCAACTTATCTTGCTCTATAGTTTCTTACTCTTTGATTTTTGTTACTATCTATTATTTCTTGTACTTCGATTGTCTTGTTTATCTGTGATAGTTACTGCTCCTTTTTAGACTGCTTTATCATGACTTATTCACTTTTGTTACTTTCATTTTCATACTGCACTGAATTGATTGTCCTTATTTGACCTTTTTTCTTGCCATACTTTTTCTTGTGCCGAGAATCTTTCGAAAGCAACATTTCTACCTCCCAAGGTAGAAGTAAGGTTTGTGTACACTCTACCTCCTCAGACCTTACTTTGTGGGTTTTCATTGGGTATATTGTTGTACATCAACTTATCAAATTCTTGAGTCGATTTTATTGTCTACCTTTATTTATACTTTTTTAATTGAAAATTTGGCTTCAGGCCCCAATCTTGTTGAGACGGCCTTGATTCAGTGTAAACATCCATAAGTTTTTTTCTTGGAATATATACGTACCCACATGGAGGCTTTGACAACTTCATACAAATCCAAGACGCCTTGCTCCCAAATTAACATTTTAAATCTCACTTATATATGGTACTCATATTCTTTGGAGTAAAACTACATTGCATCTTGAGAAGTTAACTTTCGTTAAAGTCCTCATACAACTCGTGTAAAATAAAAATGTAACGTTCTTGTTCCCCGTTGAAATGTTTTTATCAGATGGTTAAAAATTTTCAGTTGGCTACAGAAAATGGCCAAGTTTCGTCCCATTAGAATCCGCATTATGTAATAATACATCTAATTCATCAGTAAGATCAATGGTTGATCGATCATTGCCAAAACAGTAGCGAAAGACTTCAAGAGACCAAATTAATTAGCTTAATGAGTACACATTCAAGTAGGAATTGCTTCAGGGGGTTGCCTCAATACACAATACTTAATAATATGGCTTGAGAGGTTTAATTTGACCCAGCACCAGGACCAAATATCATAATATCATACTGTCAAAGATTTCGACTCTTCGGATGTAAATAGACAACACCAAGCACCTGCTCAAACAAGTCTAACTTACATCTTAAATTCAGTAAAGAAAAATTCTTCTGCAGTATCAGCAGTGCAGATTATAGGTTCAGCATAACCAGTAACGTTGGTTCAAACCCTGTATTTCTCTTAAGAAATTCACTGAATATGTACAAAATATTAGTTTGGAACCCATAACTTAAAAGAACTAGGATCTCAAGCCCATAAACTTCAAATCATGGCTTCGCCTCTAATCACAGCACATTAGCCTCAGTCACTGGAGAACAGTTTTAAGGAATATTTTCAGTTGGCTCTCACATTCATTCTCATTTGCCAAAGCAAATAAAAAGAAAGGAGCATTTTATCAAACTTGTTGGCTATACATGTAAGGGAACACATCTATACAAGTGTAACATTGTTGCTTAACATGTGACAAAATATGTACAAAAACTATCCTGCATTCCACATGGTGCTCAAGCACGGGCATCCAACAGACACGATCATTTAGACTGGAAGGGAAGCATCTGAAAAGCGGTAATTACCAGCGGCAAATTCCAGGTGCCTCCGTTCGCAAAAGGGTAACCATCTCTTCGTACTTGGAAGTATATACAAAGCCCCATAACTGCATGGCACATGATAAATGTATATTGCACTCTTAAAGTTAAATTTCATATAGACAAGGCAGGCCACAACCCGCACACGTATGCAAACACAAACAACACACAGAGATCCAGTTGCGAGTCTACCTCAACTTCCTTTACTTCAAAGTCTTCAGTATGTGCCAAACAAGAATTTCCATAAGTTTCTGATGTTGCACTTGAACCTGTTAGCCTGAAAAAGTCGACTTGAATTAAATCCCAAATAAGCTGAAATCATAAGATTTGA